CCCTATGACAGCTGGGATAGGCTCCAGCCCCCCCTCGCAACCCTGAAAAGGATAAGCGGAAGCCAATGGATGGATGGATATATAAGTGAGATGGCTTTATCCTACATAAAGCCAGCTCACTAAAATCTATATTTATTAAGATGAGTAAAAACATTGGACATTAAAACACCTTGAATCAAATTTCGCCCATTTACTTACGCTGAACTAGAATATTAACGCTGTTGTTGTGTGCCCCGTCTAAAACGCCCGGGTACTACACAGGACCACCGATGGGTTCCGCCGTTTTTAAGCCGTTTTAACATCGATTTGTGGCAGATTTACATCATTTAAAAAGGCCGGTTTGTAGGTGAAAAGTTTATTTCGCCCACCAGTACAACGAGCTAGCAGCTAGGAAGCCGTTTCCTTCCGGAGAAACATCTCACGTTAAATCTGTGATTTTCTCACCGGTAGTTTGGTTGAGATCAGCATCCTGCAGCTGATGCGGTTTGATCCGCGGCTTTCGTTCATAAGGCTGACTCTCGATGCCGTTGCGTTGACGATAATCCGCTTCATTCATTGTTCTCGTCTTTAAAATCAACTGTAAGCTCGTTTGAATTGAACCAGGCGACTCGGTCAGAAGATCGATGGCCGTGTATTCACACTTCTATACGACCTCATCAATAGTTGGACAGGGCTCTCATTTTTCAGTGTTGTTGTGAAATGGATTTATTGGGGTGTTTTGGGCAGGCATTTGCGGAGGCACCTTTTTTTTTAATAGGAAAAAAACGTAACAGACACTTTTAAAATGTATTTTTTAAACATTTAATTATTTTTCATGCAGAAATTATAGACAAGAACATATGAATGATAACAAAATATAAGAAACAGTGTATATAATAATAATAATCATACTCATAATAACAACAACAATAATAATAATTATTAATATTATTATTATAAGGCTTATAATGCAGAAAACAGGACAGAAAGGGGCCAATTAGTTTTAAAAATGAAACTTTAAGTCTTTATAAATAGGTGCTCTGTTGATATTTCTTTAATTTCTTAAAAATTGAACTAATCGTGATGACGGCGTTAATGTTGAAGGAAAAACTCCCTTTTGACATTTAAATGGAGCAAGAAAACTTCTAAAAGCTCCCTTTAAATGCTTTTAGAAGCATTTAATTTAATTTAATTTAATTTTTTACCACATTGGTTCTATTTTCTTAGACTATTGTATTCCTATTATTATTCAAGTTCACAATTTCCTTACTCAGGGGTTGCAGTTCTCATCTTATATAGAACTCTCTTAACCCTTTAAGACCTACCATAGAACCAAGTCCGCCAGAGCTTATATTATATTTTTACATGCTGTAGAGCCATTTTTGGGAGCATTTCAAGTTGATATACATCAATACAACCATTATAGCCCAAATTTTAATGATATGTATGCATTAAGTGCATAGTAATTACATAAATTGCAAAAAAGTGCAATAAACTACAAAAACATTTAAAATTGTTTTTGTTTTTTTTGTTTTTTACATATATTTCTAGTTAGAGAAATTTAAGAGGCGTATCCCTCAAAACTGTAAATACAAAAAAGTTGCACAAAATAGTTTCCCACCACAGGAAATTTATTTTAAGTGTCTTCATAGTTTTATTTTTTATATACTGCAGGAAAAACGAAAATAAATATTATAATGCAGATTTAAAAAAAAACAAAACAGCATATGCATCAAAGTAAACTATTTCCAGCAGTGCAATATGAGTCCTAAGCGTCCCAGAAACGACACAGAAAGTCATAAAGTCAAACATAACTTTTAAAAACACAAGTATAGGCTCATAAGGCCCTGATGGTAAAAAAAAACTACATTTCCGCAAAATACGTCACTTCCGGTTTCAGGCAGGTCATGGCGGACATGCGATAGTTCGCGCTGATGGACGTAGGAAGTGTTACAAACAGCTGATCGGATGGGTAAAGCGTGTTTCTGGGATATTATGTTTTTGTTGCTGCAAGTGGTTTTTATGACATTTTTGCAAAGCTTTATGTGGAAGGAAACTGTGATCGAGGACAAGCTGATGGCATAAGATGTAAGTACAACCCCTCCGGTTTCATATGCAAAAGAAAAATATTGCGCTAGCTTACGTGGTTGCAGTGCTACCGGGATTTAAAAATAGTTAAGCAAAACGGAGCGTGCCCGCTCTGACTGGCTTTAAAGGGTTAAGTGACCAGGTTCCCATTTCAACTTTTCTTCATATACTTGGTGTAAGCTTTTTCTTATTTGTCACTTTTAATTTTCGTTACTATCCTTATGTCTCTGTCTGTTATTTCTTTAAATGTAAGAGGTTTAAGAAACAGTGTTAAACATAAGGCTATTTTTTTGTTTTGCAAACAGTTCAACTCAGATTTTGGAAGATTTAATGGTATAATTTTGAATTCTGACATAGATAAAGATGGTCATTACATTTGTCTAATAGTTGAGGCTGCACACTCTATCTATATTTTAGACAATGTGTATGGTTTTAACTGTCAGAGGGAGAATAAATGGTAAATGGCCTGTATTTGTATAGCGCTTTTCTAGTCCCTAAGGACCCCAAAGCGCTTTACACATCCAGTCACACACACATTCACACACTGGTGATGGCAGCTACATTGTAGCCACAGCCACCCTGGGGAGCACTGACAGAGGCGAGGCTGCCGGACACTGGCGCCACCGGGCCCTCTGACCACCTGTGACCAGGACACAACGACCGAGACTGTCCAAGCCGGGGCTCGAACCGGCAACCTTCCGATTACAAGGCGAACTCCCAACTCTTGAGCCACGATCGCCCCAAAATAAACTATATTTTGATACGTTGGAGGAGCGCCTACTATGCTGGTTATCAATTATTTACAAGATTTATTAATGAGAGGAGACAACTTAAACAAGAGCAAGGTGATAAACAGAAACTCTGCACAGGTGCAGGGAAACCAGGGGACGGAGAAACGGTCAGGCACACAGAACACAGGGAGAGCACGGGCTGGAAGTTCTGCAACAGAGGAGAGAGGTGTCACAACGAGTGAGAGAGACAAGGCCAACTTTTACAGACAGGTGAGAGAGCGCAGACTGTCAATAGCATCACAGCAGATTCTTTTGTCACACATTAGGTGATCAGTCAAACAGCTCTGTTAAACGTATGGAATTCACATTGAGTATAGATGGATATTAAGAAATATAAAACTTCCAGTCCTGAATGGACATCAATGATTAAATTTAACAGTAACTATAGCAACAAATCACATCTGTTGTCCAGAGGCGCTTTACATTGGAAGGCAGAGACCCTATACTAGGACTGGGCGATATCACCCAAAATTCATATCTCGATATTCTTTAGCTGGTTGACGATATATGATAGACATCTTGATATTTTTTAAAGCCATAAAGTAAGAACAAAAAGAGAGCTCGTAGTCAAAGCTGTGTCCCAAATCTCACATAAGCACTTTTATTAACATACAGCGCAGATGTACAAGAAAAAATTACTCAGAAATAAATTATCAGCATTTATTAAATAATCATGCTCCATAAATAAAATAAAACAATGTTGTTTTTGTGCATAACAAAAAGCTAAATGTAAACTAACAGACGCTGAGCACAATAACAAAGACAGATTTCGCAGCTGCTCTGTTCCCAAGTTCTACTGTGTGACTGACAGCCTGGAGTTTGAAATCCTCTTTGTAACCGTGTCTCTTAACAGGTGCCATTTGTGGTCCTTATACACACACAGTACGGTAATATTACGTTGAAGCAGAGTACGTATCACTCCGCGAGGCTTCTCGGTAGACATAATGATCCAACAATCCATCAAGCAGTGCAGTTTCGTAGTTTACCAAAGTCGTACCAAAATATTTTTTGAAAGGTTTCTGAGCGCTGTGTACCACATAAAATCAGTTCGCGGCCAGTGACAGTGATTTTATGTGGTTTGCGGTTCTGTGTGAACCAGAATTTATCCATAAGGCGCGCTGTCGATTTTTGAGAAATAAAGGATTTTAGTATGTATCCTGAAACAAGATAACATTCATTAGTAGAGATTGGGAAAACTTCTGTTTACCTTTGTTAGCCACTTGGCTATGATAGTAAACAGTGGGACAGAGGGACTGGTCGCCCAGGGCACCAAACAGGTTAGGACCGCCCCTGGGTGTATGGTAGGTGGGGCTGGCTCTACACTGGGGCAAGAGGGGCCAACCACTGCGAGCCTGTTGGCTGTGGTTTAAACGTTTTTTGAGGCTCACCGATTTGTAATGCTCCTGCTCACAACAATCGTGTAATTTCACTGGACAAATTTGCACCATTTTATTTTTTTGGAATTAGGCTCATTTTTTTGCATGTGAATAAATAGATCCGACCAGTGAGAGCGTTGGATTTGGCAACACGTGTGCTCATAGCTTAAAACGCGCTCAGATTATTTTTACAGTCTCACTGATTAAATTACAAAACACTTCTTATGGGAGGCAAAAAAGTGCGTAACTTCTAACGTTCAACAGGTTTCTTTTTTTATATAATTTCTTATAATTTTGAAGCTGTTTAAAGTTTCATTGATATTAAAAATCATAATTCATCTAATGATGAATGACTTTACTATAAAAGCAAAAACGTGTTAAAACAGTAAAAAGGGTAACTTAATATAGTTACAAAGATTTATTGCCCAGTTTTAAAAAAAGATTATTTCATACTTGAGATAGCTTCAGTTTTCTACATATATGTTCCCATATATTTTATATATTTGTATGGAAACATATATATATTATTTATATAGGCAAGGACAAAACCACAAATTTTGTATTCATGGATAGTTTTTGGTTTATTTTTTAAGTACAATGAAGACAAACATGAGGGCAGAAAAGTAAAGCTTGTTAATAATACAAATACACTTCACAACAAAACCTATAGTGTTACAGTATCTATCTGCAGTAACATGTGCGAACTTTCATGCTGCTTCAGCTGTTCAGATGTTGAACATTTTTCACCACAAACGCCACACAAAAACTGTTTGTCTCTCCTGTGGATGCTCATGTGTCTCTTAAGTCGTGTATTGGAACTAAATGTTTTCCCACACTCGTCACAGCCGAACAGTTTCTCTCCTGTGTGGCCTCTTAAGTGCTCCTTAAATCGTGTGCTGCGGTTAAATCGTTTTCCACATATATCGCATCCAAACGGTTTCTCACCTGTGTGGACGCTGGTGTGTCTTTTAAGAGCATTCTGGTGTCCAAATCTTTTCCCACATATATCACAACCAAATGGTTTCTCCCCTGTGTGGATTCTCATGTGTCTTTTCAGACCTTCATGTTCTGTAAACCCTTTACCACAAACACTACAGCCAAAAGGTCTCTCGCCTGTGTGGACCCTCATGTGTACTTTAAAACTATACTTAAATTTAAATGTCTTTCCACAAGAATCACAACTAAATGGTTTCTCCTGTGTGTGTACTCGCATGTGATTCTTAAGATGAGTGTTACGACTAAATGTTTTTCCACAGTCTTCACAACCAAATGGCTTCTCTCCTGTGTGGACTCTCATGTGCGTTTTAAGAGTAAACTCAAGTCCAAATCTTTTTCCACAAGCTTCACAGCTAAAGGGTTTCTCTCCCGTGTGGACGGTCATGTGTCTCTTAAGATGTGTATTGCAGCTGAAGGTTTTACCGCAAACAGCACAAGCCAGTGATTTCTCTCCTCGGCGTTGTCGCTTCTGAGATTCCGGTTGTGTAAATGTTTTAACGCAAACATCACTGACAAACTGAGGCTCAGTTGCAACACTCTCCTTCCACGCTATACCACCCACTTCAGTTTCAGGTCCAGAATCTGACAGAGGTTCCTGCCAAACATCCTCCTCCTCCTCCTCATCTTCATAACTGACTTCAGTCTCGGAAGAGTCTAAAGTCTTTTTCTTATTATTTACTAATAAATGACAATTTAGATCTGGGCTCCAGACTGATTCCAGTCGTCCATATGCATCTTCCTCAATTTCCGTCTTGATCTGTTTAGCTAAGCAGCCGATAGGCGGCTCTGTCTGTGTGGATTCTTCTGTTTGGCTTTGATGACGATATGAGCACTGAGGCTTCTCTTCATCGTCATCATCTTCAGTCTTCACAGTAACAATAGTGAACGGTAACCTGCTGAGATCTGCCTCCTCCAACCTATTGATCTGCTGTCCCTCCTCACTGCTCCAGGGTTCCTCCTGCTCCTGCTTTATGTGGAGGAACTCGGCGGCTTGCAGGTCCCGCCTGGGGCTCCAATCTTGAGGAACTTCTTTAATCACCAGCAGCTGCCGGACATCTTCAGGTAACACTGAAACACACATGGACAGAAAAGACTGACATTAAAATTCTACAGCAGCATAGCACACCCATTAAAAACCCTGATATACAGATATATATTCATTCGTTGGTGTCTAATTATTTACTCCCTTTCGATGGCATTACCGTTATTTTTTTTACAGTAGGTCCTTTTAGTCACGTTTTTAACAAATCTGTAGGACTGGTTTTTAAAAGCTGTGTGACGTTGTCAAATTTAGAAATATCCTGACTCAGTGTGATGCTAAAAAAATCATGCCGGGCTGAATTGTAGTAATTTGTTATTAAACCTTCAGCTGATGCAAAATGACACAATGGGAGTACCAACAGGGACTGGAAAGGGCCAATCTTCTTCACATTTTTCTTCTTTTCCTTTAGGGGTTGCCACAGCAGATCATCTGTCTCCATCTCTCCATCCCACTGTTACACCTGCCTTGTTCCCATTCAAACACATGTATTCTGTCTTCTTCTACTGATTTTATTCCTCTTCTCTCCAGAGCATACCTCCACCTCCCCAGGGTCTCCTCCACCTGCTCCTTACTACAGATCACAATGTCATCTGCAAACATCTTCAAATATCCTCATGGTGTGGCCCATCAGCTTTATCCCTGTGTAGTTTCTACAGCTCTGCATGTCACCCTTGTTCTTGAAGATCAGTTCCAATACACTTCTCCATTCCTCAGACATCCCCTCACTCTCCAGGACTGTGTTAAAAAGTCTGCCTTCCCTCTTAAACACCTCCATACCTCCACGGGTGTGTCATCAGTAGGGCTGCCACAAACGATTATTTTGATAGTCGACTAACCGATTATTTTTGCGATTAGTCGACTAATCAGATCCATTGGACATAAAGCGTACAGCTTATTGCACCAGCATGCATCTGCTCTTATATAGCTCTCATTAGCTTACAGCTTGAAGTGTTTAAGGTATGTGCTAACTAAAAATAAAGACAAGATGATTAGACAAGATTAAACTTTTAATGAAATTTGCAGATTGTCTCAGTGGACTTTAATAAACTCAGCCGTCTGCTCCTTGCTCTAAATATAACAGGACACTAGAGTAAATTCTCGAACATCTCACATTTCTGTTTAATCAGTTTTCTGTTTGCGTTTATTCACCTGTGTGAAAACTATAACTTTAATCTCAGCCAAACAGATTTACTCAGAAACAAATTAAACACTGAAAAAAGGCACGACGCAACGACTATTAAATTAGTTGTTGACGATTTTGATAGTTGACATAATCGTGACTATTTGACTAATCGTGGCAGCCCTTGTCATCAGGACCAATACTCTTCACAGCTGCTCTTACTTCCTCCTTACTAAGCCTCTGCACTTCCTGATTAGCGATCCTCCATCTGTCCCCCTCCTGCACTCTTCATCTTCATCCTTTAAAGAAAGGATTAGCTTCTCTGCACTGACTAGCCTTTTAAATGCCAAATTCCTGAATAATAAGATCCAATCATGTTTTAAAAAATATCAAAGCGTTATATGATCCCAGCAGAGTGCTTCACTCACACTGCGAGGCTACATGTGGTTTCTAGAGTTTATGAAAGTAGAATAAGAGGCAGATTCGTCAGCTATGACGATAAGCTGATTGTGAAGGCTGAGTCTGTGGACACTTGAGACTGTGGTGGAGGGGACGTCACGGACAAATGGTTATCCATCATGGATAGTCCTGACGACCCTCTGCACCACTGAAAGGACATGTAATGGAGCATCTTCTTTACCAGGCTGGTTCAGCTCCAAGCAGGACTGATATAGGAAATCTTTCATACCACATTATATCACCCTTTATAATACAATACATGTGTCTGACTAAAAGGCATTTGCCAGATACAAATTGCATTATGAATGTATGCATGATTATTCTCAAGGTGCGAGTTGTGACCATAGGAATCCTTCACACTCTGAAGCCTGACGGATCATTTATTATTAGTGATTATAATTATAATTAGTGATTATTATCACTGTTAGTGTAAGGTTTGTAGCATAATTGTGAAACATAAGCAGAGCTTTTACAAAAATACTGAAGTGTATTTTTAAAGAAATTAACAGCTTAATATTCTCTGTCTCATGTTTTCCTCTTCAAACGAAGGTGATCCAGTCAAATGCAACAATATATGGAAGACTAAAATCCCTCTTCCACTTAGTGCCACGTTGGCCAGCCGTGCCATAGCACCAGCATTTAATATGAAACAAGCGGTGAGGACCTGCAGACCGAGGTGGAGCAGTGTGGACGAGCGACAGGCTCATCTGCTACTTTCCACTTTTACAATAATGGATTAAAAGTGTTTCTTATTTTGTTGCTGGAGCTGTGAGGTCAGTTTTAGATTCCACACAATGACCAGTTCAATCTTTCACTGTGAGCGCTCTGTTTGTTACTAACACTAACACACTTTATCCAAAGTTCATTTAAAACTTTTCTATAATGCTCTTCTTCTACAGCAACTACATTATTATTGTTGTGTATTATAGTGTTGTTTTGTGTTGTTTGTTGGACTCTTTGTTTATTAATAGGTTCTAAAATATATTTTACCTTCACAATTTGTAATAAAATGGTCTAAATAGTTAGTAAAACAAATATGAACTGAAAATCTTAATCTTAACCACTTATTTTGTTAAATGTAACTTAGAATTGGGGAATGAACAAGTTGAATGAACAAGCTAACTTTTTCAAGAAATGACTTTTTTACCATCACTTCCTCTCATAGAGCACTTTTCTACTCTACCTGAGCACTCAAAGAGCTTATACAACTCTATGCAACATTTTTCTAAGCTTTTCTATGCTTAAATACTCTCTTCAAAAAAAAAAAGCGGTTTGAATTAACCACAATGCAGGTTATAGGGAACATACAAACTCACTATTTTTGCAGTCTGAAACACTGAAAATTGCCGATCTAGTGAAATTCCAAACAGCACGGTTAAAACACTCGACTCCAGCTACACGACACCCAGCTGGAAACACTTCACGCAAGTCGAGCTGCCCGAGATTCACAGAATTTACAGAAAATGTAAATTTTTTGTGATTTATCTCGTTATAGGGACGATAGATGTTTTATCTCGGGATATGGGATTTTAGTCATATCGCACAGCCCTAGTATATATTATATCAGAAATCTGTTCACTATTTTTATTACAGATTATATCAGTAAGGAAGCTGACTAAATATTAACTTATGGCAAAAGGGTGGGATTAAACAAGTGTGTACTTCTTCCCACTTCCTTTCAACATGTAAATGAATCAGTACGGTAGCAATATTGAAATGTATTGACTTTTGTATAGTATTTTTTTCTCTCTTATTTTCTGTATTTTTTTTTACATGTTTGAAATAAATTAACAATTAACAATTAAATGCTATTCTTACACAGGATTGTGTCTGCTCCTCTCTGTCAGCTTATTGCAGCAACTGGACCATCATGCAACATTAAGAAACTGCACGTGTGATTTCAGGAGGATGTCTCAGACTGCCAGACGCAAAGCTGCACTCCAACAGGATGAAAGAACCAACCTCACGTCACCCTGTAAGGACTGATGTTGCCGCTCTAGAAAGTGTCTGGCACACCGGATTTCTGAGTTTCCTGATGGTCTGAATTTCCCTTATTTCTCTTTTAGTTAGAGAACACTCTGATCACCACGCAGGGTGATCTCTACAGGGAGGGGGGTAAAATGTGATCCCCACCAGGGATGTAAAACTATTTAGCAGAGTGAGGAAGGAAGGACCAGACGATGGGAAAGCTAACTCTGCTTATTGGTATTATTATTAATAGTAGATTTCATCATTATTTTAACTGCTGAGAACAAAAACATTTCTTAAATATGGGACAAATAAAGCATTTCTCATCTCGTGATGTTTGCATACTCTGGTCCAGAGCAACTTATGTTCAGATTTCTGTTTTAAACTCAGCCGAAAGCGCTTTACTTTGACCAGTACACGCAATTTTAATGATGTTCTATATGAATGATTAGCTGCAATATACAGGACCTTACCCAATTAATACGTTATTAACGCTTAATGAGCATTTAAAAACGGTCGAACTACAAAGACAACTCTTGTGTGCGCGCTGGCAAATCGTCCGGACGCCACACTTTACCCTCAACTTTAAGTTCCGCCGTTTAAAAAAATCCGCCACAATAATTCTATTAAACGTTAATATTCACATTTGAGATCCACGGATGAAATAAAAAGCTCTGAGATTTTATTTATGTGTTTATTTTTGTGCACGTATACAGATAAACGAAAACCGATGTTTCCGATGTGAAACACCTTTTCACAAACCCCACAGCGAGCTAACAGTTAACCCGATCAAACAGTAAATGTGTTTTTATTCTCACCGGCGCTTTGGCTCGTTTCAGCATCCTGCTGCCGTTTAATCTCGGGCTTCTCCTCAGCCAGACTGTCGGCATTCAGCTGATGGAGATAATCCACCTCATTCATGATGGTGTCCGTGTCTTTGCTCTCTTCTTTAAAATAAACTGCAGGCTCGGCGGAGCTGAAACCGGGCCTGGGCAGAATCGATCACCGCCGATCACCTTTCACGATCACGCCGCTTACGTTTCTGTTCATCCATGAATACGTCACCGGGGAGGATACAGATTGAAACGGGACACTCAAATGATTCCTCACAACATTTATTGCCCTCTGCTGTGTTTTGAACAGGCATCTGCACGGACACCTTTCCTGTCCTCGGCGGTGAGATCACCGCTGTGGAGCGACGAGAGTGCAAAAATGAAATCACTAAATACATCAAATAATGATTAAATGTTTAATTAATTGATTCAATTAACCAGGTTATGGTCTGTTGATCAGCCGCAGTGACAGTTTCAATTATTTCAAGATGGGCAGCAACACACGAACCATGACATAATTAAAATATCTACTATTGTTTCTCCATTTAACTAACTAATGATACATTTAATTACTATATTGTGTTTTTATTTATTTTTTAAAATTGATGTAATGATGTTTTTTTTTTCCATTCTTGACCTTGGAGGGTTATTTCCTTTCTATAAAGGATAGGAGACATTTTCTTTTTCTAAATTTTAAAAATTCCTTTTTTAAATATGTTTAGTTTTATTTATGTAGAACCGGTTAAAAATGTCTCAAGGTGTTTAAAGGTTGCGACATTTTGATTGGCACACAGACTCTTTTTCTCAGTGGTTTTCATTGCATGTGTGTGACGAAAAGCTGTCGTCATGAGTCTCCTGAAGATTTAAGTCACTGCAAAGTCATATTCAATGTAAAATAAAATGAAAGCTTCCATAAATAAAAAGAAATGCAGCTACAACACTGATTACGTTCCTAAATACAGTATTGTTCAAAAGTCTCAAGCCAAACCCCATGTAATTATATCTTGCTGGGAAAATGGAAAACAGGTGCAGTAATTGTTTAAAACTTATACAAACATACACATAGATACAGTAAATAAGGCAAAAACAGATTTAGTAAAATTAGAATGAGCTTGAAATTAATATTTGGTATCATAAAGGTGGTCAGCCATTATTCCTCAATACATCCTGAAATCATAGAGGCAGTTTTTCTATCTGGGTAGGCTTTCATTATATTGGATTTGTATTTATTTTATTTTTTTAAATTGAATTTAGTTTCTACTCAGTAAATAGTTGATCAAAATGATAAAAATTCAGTAAAGTAATAAACATTATTTTAAAACAATATTAAAGATTAGTTGGCATAATGAGATTTGCTTCTAATTCTAAAATCTAAGGAAATAATGCTCATTTCCTTCAATTAATGGTAGAGAATTATTGTATTTGCAAAAGGACCATTGAAACAACAGAACACTTGTTTTATGAGTGTAAGACTGTTACACAAATGTTTGGAAATATCATCATAAATAAACGTACAGTTCCAGAAGTAGATGTAGATTTCTGGTCTTTTCAAAATACTCGAATGGGTAATCCTCAAATATAGAAGATACACTTTTAATAAACAATATGATAATCATAATCACAAAATTCTATAATTCTATATACATGAATGTAACTTTTTTAGGCCAAACATGAGGGAGAACACTCATGGTTTTTAATTTACAAACAATGTGTAATTATAGTTTCAGTGGTGAAATGGAATTGCTTGATATTGAGTTTGTTTATGTATTATTCTGCTTATGTTCCAATAAATTAAGCAGGTTTTAGATGTGGAATGGAGCAGGGAGAGAAGAGCAAGGCAGAAATAATTAAGGGTAGAAAACTGGTTTAGATCAGGCTCATGTGTGCAAATGAATTACTTGAAAAGTGGCTGCTTATGCTGCTGGGTCCACTCCCCTTTTTGTTGTGTAGCCTGCTCACACTGATGTCTTTCACTGTGTGTTGGATTAATTTTTTCCTGCCCCTTGGGACTCAGTTTTGCATGCGCTGAAAATAAATGTCTTACTTTTTAGACATTCTGCCTCTTGTGTCTTCCATTCTGGCTTCTTTGAAAACCTAAACATTACACTCAGTTTGCACACTGTGACAGCCACAAGCTGATTGCTTCCATGCCACACTACACTGATGCTGTGATTCATCCTCAAGAGCCCAATAAAGGTATAGTAAAATATAAACAGACATACTTTTATTGAAATTGGACATTTATGTGTTATAAATCCTTTTTGATTGACTGTACTTATTCCACTTGGAACCTCATGCAGCACACACAAAAGTATTAAACTAAAAGTTGCAGATAAATTCATTCTGCTCTGCTGCTTTGATGACGATTTTATGAATGAGGTATTGAATGAGTGTCAAAGAGAAGAAAAAACCTGCCAGCAAACAGGTTAATGTTACAGACAGACTTATTACAACAGTAAATGACTCAGAGTTTAAGTTTTTATTTAATTCATTTTTTCTTTCATGCAGGTAATTCCACTGAGAATTATCTTATTTACAAGAGCAGCAGGATTTTTTGGACAACTTGGAGGAATAAGTTGTTTGCATAATATTTTGTGACAATAAAAATGAAATCCCCACGTATAAAAGAGAAAAGGGTGGCTTTTGACTGGGTGTAATGCGACTGTCTTAGATATGTGACAGTATTTTAACATATTGTTTGCATTATAGGAATTAGAGGGTAATTATTTTAGAAATGTAATTTTGGACACTTAGATTTAGAGAAGGACAGTAAGAGGCAGTAAAGCGATATAAACTGATGTCCGGTGCCTTTAAACTGCCAAAGAAGCAGAAGAAGGGCGTCCGTGTAGATGCCTGCTCAGAACAGAGCAGACGTAAACAAATCTTTCGTAAAATCACCGATGGCAACTGCTGTCCTGTTCGGGTCTCTGCGGGTTCCTGTAATACATGGATGGGTGAAGGCTGACGGAGGTTCGATCAGCATGACCTTCGCGCTGATCGGTGATCGATTCTGCGCAGGCCCGGTTCATCTTTAAGGAGCCTACAGTTGATTTTAGAGAACAAACACGGGCATCATGAAGGAAGTGGATTGTGTTCAGCAGCGAAACACAGACAGTCTGCAGACTGGAGGGCAGCAGCTGCAGCAGCACGATGATGATGCTTTAAACCAACCTGGTAAGAGAAGTCGCATTAATGAGATTCAGTGTTTCTAGGATGGGGTAAGAGTGGCTGGAAAACTCCCGACTTATAATAAAAAGTGGTCTTCTTATACAGTATGTCCAAAGAATCGATTCTCTTATTATATAATTAGAATAACTTTGTAATGACGGACCGAAAAAGATTGAATTTAAAGAGAAGGTTTAGTGCAACCCGGACTGTTTTAGAGTGGGCACACAATAGAGTTGTTTCTGTGTGATTTTATGTGCAGTGCTTTGCTGCTATTAGTAAACTGACTGCAGTCAACTAGATTCATGAAGGGATATCTATCTATCTATCTATCTATCTATCTATCTATCTATCTATCTATCTATCTGTCTGTCTGTCTGTCTGTCTGTCTGTCTGTATTTATATATAAAATTGCAACTTAAAAATGGAATTTTTAATGTCAATGAGACTTTTTAGCTGGATAAAGAAAAAATATATAAAAGTCACTTTGCAAAATACCTATTGCAGCTTTAATCATCATGAGAAATATGTATATGTTTGACAAATTTGTCTCAGATTATAAGCAAACAAGTAATTTACAGCAGTTTAAATACAGGCATCGATTCTGACAGATGATCATTTTTTGGCACAACATCAGCAGCACAGATTTCCAGACCACTCCTCTCCCCAGAGATGTTCCTCAGTCAGCCGATAACCATAACCTGTCCAGTGTGTGTCGTGTGGGTTTAGTGGTTACAAAGTGATGTACAACTAAATAAAGTAAAAGAAATAAGAAAATGAAGTGCTGAAACAGCAAACAAACAAACAAATATGTATATATTAAGTCAAGACAACATGAAGTGAAGATTGCATAAAAACCAATAAGAAGTTGAAAAAGTTTTAACTGCTTTTTAAAAGAGTCCACAGAGTCCACAGATTTTAGGATATAATTCAGGAGGAGCTGTAGTCATGGTCTTTGTCTTGTTGGCATTTAGAAGAAGTTAAATTCAAGAGAGTCAATCACTAATCCAGGTCAAATAGTGGACTAGGGTTGACAGACCAGGGCCCTGTTTCAGGAAGCCGGTTTGGAAAACTCAGAGTGAAAAACGACACTCACGGTTGAGTAACCCCGAACTGTCCAACTCGGAATATTCGGTTTCAGAAAGGCTGATAACAA